GGACTTATCAATAAAAGTAGTACGGATAAATGGGGATGTTTTGGTCAGTGAAGTAGACAAACAGGTAAAAACAGAAGGCCCTAACATATGTATGACAAAGTTAGTGAGGTCACAGTGTGTTTATGATTTCAGTTTTGACACTGATTATTGGTTGATAGTCTTATACCATAACTGGGTCACAAATGACCCCAGCGCGGCAAGTGCGTGTTGTTCTATAAAAAATAAAAATTAAATTTAGTGAAAAAAAAAATATTTTTTTTTTATTTAAATAAAGGTTCCAGACAAAGTCAAAAAGCCTTGATGCAAAAAAAATTATTTAAAAGACAGTATCATGATTTAAAATTTAAAATGGGTCACTACAGACCCTAACATAGTAGGAAGGTTAATAAGCCGGTGCAGCACATTAGCTTTGCACCCTGAAGAAGTTAGGTGGGGGGATAAGAAGATGTGGGGGTAATGCAGCAAAGCTGAATAGGACTGGCTGAGAGGGAAATGGAGAGTATACTGCGTTCGGAGTGAGAGAGTGTGTATATGTCTGAGAGAGAGAAAGAGAGAGAGAGAGAGAGAAAGAGAGAGAGAGAGAGAGAGAGAGAAAGAGAGAGAGAGGAGGGGGAACGGGACCACACTAATGTTCTCATGGTCTGCAGTATTTTCTGCTGTTTCTGTAGAGCTCAGCAGATACTCTACTAGCTCTGCTCTCACTCCTCCCCTTTGCTGATGGTAGGGACAGTGTTGGAAAGGAGTGGGGAGAGAGAGAGAGTGGGAGATGTGCAGTGAGCATAAAAATCTGTACCATACTCCTTTTTGCTCTGCTCCAATAAAGCCAAGTGCTTAAGTGGATTGAAAGACAATGCAGAGAAAGCAGAGTAATGCAGAGGACAGAAAAAGAACAGATAAGTGTTTTAGTAAAAAACAGATTTACTTTTATGCAGGACAATAAAACCAAATCCTAACATTTATATTGTATTTACACCTCTATTTCATCTATATTTTTTATTAAATAAATTAATTTAATTGTGGATCGATTGAAGAAACTTCTCCCACATGACATCTCTCAGCATTAACCAGAAAGAACAGCTTTGTGCAATCTATTAGTGTTCCTTTACTTGTGTCCAAAGCTTTGCTCTTATTGTGTACAGGTAACACAATTCTCCCACAGTTTGTGCCATTTAAACCTATTCTAAGCTCTGCAGGAATTATTGTTAAAATGTTGGCTTCTCTCCCTTTACAGTAAATAACCCGCAGAGACAATCAAAACATATGACATGACATTTTTATGATTTATTACATGATGTTGCCTAAAATCATGCTAAAATTGACATCTGTAAGTTCTCATTTTTTTAAAAAACAATCATATTATTATTAGGAGGCTTTCGTGTTTTTGTACCATACTTTAATGTACATTCAGTAGTATGTCTCAGATGATCACTGCTCCTATCTAGAAGCAGACTCACATTTTGTTTAAATGCATTTTGGAAACTGCCATGACAGAAACGACATATAAAATATTCTACATAAAACATTAATGTCTGGTTCAAAAAAAGCACAGTGTAAAGACTGGCTAGTTTAACTCAAACAGTTTAAATTTAATTAATTCAAACAATTGAAATGTTCTCAAGGCTACGTTCACACTGCAGACAAATCTGATTTATTTTTATTTTGTTGCCAAACGCTGTCCATATAAGATTTTTTCATGACAATCTGAATGTGACCAACCCCCACCCCTAAAAAAATAGACCCATGGCTTTTTCATTGGACGGCTCAGTTGGTAGAGCTGATGCCGCTCAGCGAGAAAGTTGCCAGTTCAAATCCTGGCCCGGGACCTTTTGGGTGGAGTTTGAATGTTCTCTCCGTGCATGCATGGGTTTTCTCCAGGTACTCTGGTTTCCTCCCACAAAACCAAAAACGTTTGTCTCTATGTGTCCCTGTGATGGACTGGAGACCTGTCCAGGGTGTACCCCACCTCTCACACAGTGACTGTTGGATATGGGCACCTGTGACCCCCATGACCCGAAAAGGAAGAAGTGGGTAAAGATAATGGATGGATGGATGGATAGATGGATGGCTGGATGGATGGATGAACAGCTTTTTCATTTGTGGTGCTGAATTCTTGTGCAAACCTTGTGCAGTTTAAAGCTCAAAACTCCACGCGTCTTCAGCTACAGAACAAAAGGCTAGTATCTTCAACTTTGTTCTTTTAATTTCCCATGTCCTGGATAACTGATAATCTACCGCAACATATGAAACTACCGTTAGAGAACGACTGTACTGAAACTTTCGTGATGGGATTGAGTTTGTTTCTATTTTCAGTACGCCACTGCCGTTCCAAAAATAACAATGCTGCACTGGTGCATCTATCACGAGACAAGATTAAATATAAACACTGAACCAAAAAAAAAAGTCTGATAATTTTTCATTCTATTCTGAATGCTCAAAAACTTTAGAATCACATATACAAACATATGCAGCATCCATATTTATTTCCTTAAACACATTGTGCTGCGTGTGATGTTACATTTTCTTCTGCACCTGCACACAGTTCACACTGGAGTATGATGGAGGTGTGTGACCAACCACACACATGAATTAGATCCGAGCAACAAAAAAAATGGAATTGAGCATTAAGACCAGCAGTGTCTTCAGTGTCCTCCTCTTTGAATTTCCACCTTATCATGGTGGAGAAGTTTGTGTGCCCGCATGATCATAGCTATGCTGTTGAGGGCAGTTGCCCTTGGTAGGGTTTCCTGAGGCACCTCTCCCGAGGTGGGTTGGGATCTGGCCATGGAACACTGGAACAGCTCTTTACACTCAGTAGGGTCCTCACGGGGTCATGGAGTTTGTCCATCCAGTCTACATATGCTTTAAGGACTTGGAGAAGGCATTCAACCATGCTTCTCGAGATACACTGTGGTGATGCTCTGTGAGTCTAGGATTTGGGGTTCATTGCTATGGGCTGTTCAGTCCCCATACAAGTGGTGTGACACTTTGGTTCACATTGCCGGCAATAAGTTGGACCCCTTCAGGGTGGGAGTTGGACTCCACCAGGGCTTCCCATTGACACAGATTCTGTTCATAATTTTTTGTACAGAATTTCTAAGTGCAGCCAAGGACCAGTGGAAGTCTGGTTTGGTGGCCTCACGATTCCTTCTCTTCTATATGTGGATGATGTAGTCTTGTTGGCATCATCGTGCTATGATCTCTGCCTCTCAAGTAGTTTGCAGCCGAGTGTGAAGCAGACGAGATGGGGATCAGCTTTTCCAAATCTGAGGCCATGGTCCTCAGTTGGAAAAGGGTGGATTGCTCTCTTCAGGTGAAGGGTGAGGTTCTGCCTCAAGTGGAGGAGTTAAAAGTATTTTGGTGTTTTGCTCAAGAGATAGGGTGAGACGCCTTCCTATGGAGGTCTTATGGACTTGGCCAACTGGGAGGAGAACCTGAGTAAAACCTGAGACACTCTGGAAAGACTATGTCGCCTGACCTGGGAACTAACCACTGAGCTGTTGTGCTGCTGTTGTGCTGATTGATTGATAGACAGACAGATGTTTGGTTGGATGGATGGATGATGGATGGATAGATGGAGAGAACTGCAGTGTAAACATAGCCTAAATGACATTTTGGCAGTTTATCATTTAATCTTTGTTTGGAAACTGCAGGCCATTTGTTTATTTATTCACTTTGGATATCAAGAGTGTGCAGGACTTTAGTTCTTTGGAGCAACATTTGATGAAAATGGGGAGTGTGGTAAAGCTAGTGCGGCACTAACGTAGAGCTATGCTAGCGCAATGCAGATGTGCTAGCTAAGATGCTACTGATGTAGCGCTCCACTTCTCTCACACATCCTAAACCCCACCACCCCTGCCAACAACTGCTGGTACTAACATAGCACTAAGCTAGCGTACAACACAGACGTGTCTCCCCCTCCTCCCCCCACCATGTCAACAACAACAACAACAACAAAAAAACTATTTAATAATAAAAAACCTTAGAGAGTGTCCTGACAAGCGACCTAGAGGAAACACTGCATGTGGAGTGGTGAGTTGTTGCAGGTAACAAGGAAAACCTGGAGTGGACTTTCAGTGGTTTGAGTTTTCTCCTGTTAATCAAGTGGAATGGATTAGTTCACAAAGAAATAGAAACAGCTCTGGGTGAACTAATATTTCAAGGTATGTGTGTGTGTGTGTGTGTGTGGGGGGGGGGGGTGTCCAAATGCTGTAAGTATTTTGTAAATGTGAGGGGGCCACATCCCCTTCACATATAATTGTTGTGACGCCTATGATGTCAATAAAATAACTTTAAAGACCAAGTATTTCAGGCGCCTCAGCTCATGTTGCACCTTGTTTGTTCTGGTGTACAGAGCAGGATGTCCATCTGGTGCTAAACAGTGTAATACAATGTCATGATCAGCCATTTTCAGTCAGTCTGTGCAGCTTGGTGGTCTGTCAGGAATCCAGGGTAAAAACAATCGCCAAGTCTTCGTGCAGTTAGTTCACTGTGGCGACCTCTGAGGAAGGGAGCAGCCGAAAGAAGAAGAAATGGCTGAGTAGACCCCAGAGCACAATTTATGGGACAAAACTGTTCATTTATGAAATAAAAAATAATAAAGGGTTCATGTGTAAAAACAATGTGTTTTTGTATGTGAAAATAGTATTTGTGTTGTAAATAAGTCAAAGAGTCAAATGTTTTGTTGTAACTTTGCTGCTTCTTAAATGAAAATGTGAATGTTGTGCTTGTAATATAAACCAAATGAATTGAACTCTTCACTGGTTCTGTTTGTTGCTGTCAGAGCACACAGCTCAACTTAATCACATCAAGTACTGAGTTTATTTCGTTTCATGGTTTGAATTCAGCTGATGTCAATGTTCTGAATCCAAAATGAGGCTGAAGCAGGACCGGATCCCACAGACTCCTCATCCCCACCTCCCTCTCTCTCCTCCTCCTCTCCTCCTCCTCCCTCCAGACACCTGTACTCAGAGACTGCAGAACCCGCACAGAGATGCATACTTGGTTCGGTCGGGACTGAGCCTGCAGAACCGGGAGGAGCGGTGGATGGAGAGGACCAGTCCGCACCGAGCGAAGCATGCCCCAGCGCAGCCATGACAGGCTCGGCGTCAGACAGCGAGAAGATCGTCATCAACTGCGGCGGGATCCGGCACGAGACCTACAGGAGCACCCTGAAGACCCTGCCGGGCACGCGCCTGTCCTGGCTCACCGAACCGGACGCCTACAGCAACTTCGACTACGACCCGAAATGTGACGAGTTCTTCTTCGACCGGCACCCGGCCACCTTCGCCTTCATCCTGAACTACTACCGCACCGGGAAGCTGCACTGTCCGAGCGACGTGTGCGGGCCCCTGTTCGAGGAGGAGCTCGCCTTCTGGGGCATCGACGAGACGGACGTGGAGGCGTGCTGCTGGATGAACTACAGGCAGCACCGGGACGCAGAGGAAGCCCTGGACAGCTTCGAGACTCCAGAACCAGATGCGCCCGAAGACGACCCGGCGCTGACCGGCGGCGCGGACGGAGACCTGAAGCGTCTGTGCGTGCAGGAGGACGGGCGCAGGGCGACGTGGTGGGAGGTGTGGCAGCCCCGCATGTGGGCTCTGTTCGAGGACCCCTACTCGTCCAAATACGCCCGGGTGAGTCGCAGGACGCCTCCCTGCAGGTGTTCAACCACAGCTCCATCTTTTTTCACGTCTGTTCAGACCTTCAGACACGCTGATGGTCTGCTGCAGTCTGCACATGGAAACTAACACACACACACAAATAACTGCCCAAACTGTGGAAATAACTGTGAAAGCACAAATGGGAGAAACACAATATATTTAAGGCGATAAAACCTTAATCTAAAATGACTATGTCAAGGTAAATGATGTGCTTTAGCTCCAAGATACATTAAATGACCAACATATGCCCTTCAGTAACAACAGGAAGAATACAGCTTTGTTACAAAATAAATAAAGGTGCATGCAGTGAAAATTCTTGTTCTGTGTTTGGGTTCTTGTGCAAGAACGTGACTTGATCAGAACAAAGAGCTGGTGGTGCAGAAGATCTGGTCTGTGGATGACTCCTCGTGGAGCCTGCAGACACAACTGCTGCTTTTAGTTACACTTACATTGAAAATGATTTGTTTTAGACCAGCTGCCCTCAAACTCACTTTCCTCTCATTTTCAGCGTTGGTGCGAGAAGTCTTGCTCTCCGTTGTTATTAGTTAAAAATGGATGTAAGTAATAAAACGTCTAACAGCTCGTTTTCAAAGCATTTTTCTTTTTTTTAAATTGTGTTTTCATTGTCGCTAAAATGACAAAAATAATCAAATATTTAGTTGAGAGGAAATCAGAACTCACAATAAAAGGAAGTTCCGTTGAGCATCCGTTCACATGTGTGGGGTGCAACCATGAGCCGACTTGTGATCTTAATAAAGGTCGATCTGAGGCAGGGCATGGTCTGACTCATCCATTCTAAGGAAAACACATTAAACGTCTGCAGACAACGGCACTTCTGGTCTTATAGAAGTTGTTGTCTCGGACATTTCATAAAGATTTGTCACTAATCACTGGAAGGCCTCTGGTCCTGGAGGACCACTCTGCATGTTTCAGTCATTTACCTGGTTCTGTGGATAAATGACCTCGTCCGCGTGTCCTGAAGTTTGGCAGAAGTTTGTCAATCCCCCAGCAGCTCATACTGCGTGTGTTGGAGCAGAGAGACGTGTAATATGTGCAGACTGTCACACGGTGAGTTAACACGTGATGAGGACGGACGCTATTATGACACTGTCTGAACTGGTTAGTGTTGGTTTGTTGGGGTTGTTCCAGTTATGTGCAACTTTTTGTGCAAGACTGAAGCAGAAAACTGATGAACCTGGTGTTTAATGCTCTGAGAGATGCTGGTTTCAAACTGTCTTCATCTTGAGCACAATTAAATTAAAACAGAAAACTAGTTTTAGTTTGTTGTTTTTAAACCTAGAGCTGTTCTCTGATGTGCAGCTTTAAAGTGGACCAACATTAGTGCACAAATACTTTGCTGCAGAATTTTTAATTCCTTATTTTGTCAGGAAAGATGAATAGATTAGATTAACATATATGTTCAAGCATAAGCTTTTATTTTTGACTGTACCTTGAGTACACAATTTTGTTCCACCTTATGTACCACATATGATGTGAATGACAATAAAGAACCTTGAACCTTTGAAAAATGATGGACAGGGACGGCTTGATGTGGGACCTTCACCAGATTTACATCCCGACACCAGAGGACAGAGGGTGAGCTGCAAATAATCCCAAAGGGCCACATGAGAAAAACTCACAATCATCACTTCAACAACTTCAAACTGATTAAATAAAGTAATGGATCCCGTTCAAAGAAAACAAATGAATAAAATCAACAATATTGCACAACATGAAATCAGTTCTTTTTTCAAAAGTCCCCCCCCAAAAAAAAAAAATCCACATTTTGATGTTACATTTGTCACTAAATGTGTCCTGACACATGTAGAGTTTGTACAGTTTCAATAGCTGATTGGCATAATAGATACAATTTTATAAATGTTAACAATTTACATAAAAACAGCAAAAGTGTTTCAGTTCATCAAAACATTCAGTGACTTATTGTTAAAGTTGTCCTGTAAGTCATGAATTGCAGCTTTTTATGTAAATAAAACGTCATTACGTGTTTGTTTTACAGCACATTAAAGGGGCGGGCTTTTATTTTGTAAAGAAAACTGACTCTAAACTTACCTTCATCACAGGAACCTCAGTGTAAAACTGATGAAGTCCAACTCTGTCCTCTGATGATCATGTTGGGAATGAGGATGAGGAGGATGAGGAGGATGAGGAGGATGGGCCTCCTGTCTGTGCTTTTTTTACTTCAACACAAAGTTAACACACTTTACCTGATATCTAATTGTGTTTAAGAAACTTCCACCTAAACAAGTGATGCTTGATTAGTTTTCTGGACAGAATATCTGATTTAATACAAACAGCTGCAAAATCTGAAGAAACTCGCTTTTTTTTGTTTCTCCTCGTGCGCTTGAACGTGGAAGAGTTTGTTGGAGTTAAAAATGACTGCAGCCTGTTTTTGTTTTATTCTGAAAGTCCCACATTTTGTTGTGTCAGTCTTTATGTATTAACAAAACCTACGAGGAAGCAGCAATTATTCCTTCTGAATCCAGCAGAGCTGTGTGTGACACGCACACACACACACACACACACACACACACACACACACACACACACACAGACATTTGAAGCTAAAATCTTCTCTGAATATGTCGTCTCGTCTCTGTTGTGTGGCTCATCATAAATCGTGATGCAAGTTCCTCAACAACCTTCTTAAATAATAACAATTAATATTTTTACATTTTGAATTTGGTCCAGAATCATTTATGTCTGCGCTGCAATGCATACAAAATTATAACACAGTGAGGACACTGATACAGGACACTTCATGCATCCTCTAATTGTCCTGTGTTGTCAACCTTGTGATCATTCAGTCTGTTTAAAGGATGAGATGTAGTCACTGTGCTGTTTGGTATCATGGTGTGTAAAACACTGAACATGGAGCACAGAAAGAGAAGGAGGAGCTTAGAAAGAAAAACATGAGCTGTATATAAAGATAAAAGCTACATCTCCAAGCAGCTGAATGTTCATGTGGCTACAGCAGCACAGATTAATCATGTCTGGAGACAACCTCCCTGAATGTGGCTGCAAGAGGAAAACTGACAAATCAAAGAGCCTGAAAATATGAATGATCACCAAAGAGCCCAGAACAACTTTTAAAGAAATGACACATGACCTCCAAAGTCGAGGTCCAAATGTACATCAGTGTCAGATCACACTTCCTGTCACTCTTAAAGTCAGAGTCAGAGAAGGACGCCACTGTTAACAGCAAATCATCAAAAAGTCAAACTGCAGTTTTCATATTCACTGCAGACACAAAGCTTTTGGGAGAAGGTTCTCTGGACAGATTAGACTCAACTGGAGCTTTCTGGCATTGAGTCCCGTCAGCTCTACGTTTATAGAGACAAAAGGGAAGCAGAGAAGAGGAGAACTCTGCACCTACAGTGGAACGCTGAGGAGGCTCGGTTCTGTTCTGGGGCTGCTTACAGACACGGTGTCTCAAGACTATCGAGACATTCTGGAGCAAAATGTGCTGCCCAGAGTCAGACAGCTCGGCCTCAGTCGCAGGGCATGACCCAAAACATGCAACCACCCAAGAATGGCAACAAAACGTTGAGCTGCCCTGAAGCGACCTTCTGAGCCATGAGCTAAATTCTGGGACCTGGAACTGGACCTGGAGTCTGCAGAAGGAGCCATCACACCCGAGACCTCTGGGACAGTTTGCTCATGAGGCGTGGGACAAAATGTGCACCTGCACACGCGTCAAACCGTGATACAGAAATTACTGGATTGCAGTGGTAACATCAAAAAGTTGTGCAACAAAATATTAAAATAAGAAGAATCTTTTTTTTTTTATTTATCAAGGCCTTTTTTAAATATAATTATTGTTGAACTTTATCTTCTATCAGCTGTTCCCTGCCACAGCGAGTTGTTCTCTTCCTAACACTTCTGTTCAACCGCAGCTGAAAATCAACCAGATGACGTTTAGTCTTTTTTTCTGATTATTACTTTTGTCAGTTTCAAGGTTTTTCAGTGACTTTTGTGTTTTTTTTCTTTCTTTAACAAATGAG